TTTTGCAAAATTGTTCGAGTGGAAAATCGTTCAATTCGCTGGAGAACTGCAAAAAGCACCTGAGAGGGTTTTTCAATTTTAAATCTGGAACCTTCTACGGAAGAGGGCTACTAGAACCCACAGGAAGATGGCGACTCCCTACTGAACAGAATGGAGGATAGCCAATTAATGGATTTCTTCTTCTAGGAATTTTCATTAAAAGTCAATCAAAAATCGGCGGGAACTTTTCGGACAACCCAAAACTTTGACTTCGCTTTGATTCCTCTGACCTCGATTTAACCAAAAGTCTTCCAGATATTCGTAGTGGTTATGGACAAGATAGGCAGCGTTCCAGGATCACCTGTCGATATTGAAAAGTTCGCCAATAACCTCAAGAGACGTTTCCAGAATTATCAGGTCAGAAAAGGTTTCGTGAATCTTGACTATATGCAGCTAGATAGGCATATATGTTAAATACATCTATGGGTACATTACCACCTCATGGAGATAAGTGAATATGAAATTGCCATGAGTTGCATGTCTTGCAATACTGAAACCTTAATCTACTTTTAATTTGATAAAACTTCATAGAAATTTTTCGATACTTCTTTTTGCCTGAGATATCTTGGTTTTACTGCATTTTCCATACTGCGAGCAATTCGGAATCTACTTAATTTTGTTATTGATGACTTGAACAAAGAAAATTGCTAATGTGGTTCACCGTGTCCATTTGAACCGCTTTTTGCATCTTTTTAAGTTGATTGCTGTGCAAAAGGAATAAATCGATAGAATAGGATGCTCCTTGTGGTCATGTACCTTCAAAAAAACTCGGTAGGAATAGATCTCTTTTTTTCCCTGCTGATGTGTCACACTTGAGAGTTGATTAACTTATACGTTTCCACATTGAAGGATTAACGTCTTCGTGGATACGGTATTTCTTCGACTTGTTTGGTAGTTGCGGGATCCGTACAATTGTTATTGTGAGCATCGAATATACTCGTACACCGGAAGTATAATTTTCTCTTCTGAAAGACAGAAAAAAACATTTTTTACAAACCTTTTTATGTACATCTATCATACCCACTGACCAGTCTACTCGAAAGCAATTAGAATTCGAAGAGCAACATGGAATTTCATCGACGCCTAACTCTTCTACCCTTGTTTCTTGGCAATTTTAGAAGTACGCATAGAAATATGGTTCGCTTACTTTCGTTCAATAGTGCAATATGTCATTCATAACATGTATGGCTGAGTAATGTTACTAGATTTCATAAAGCATTTACCTCTTCATTGGCATAATTGCTTAGACTGCATCAAGCGACCGTGGACCGTGCTTGAATCGCAGAAATGGAACTGCTGACGTTAGATGACGTGCAAAGATGTGGAGATTCAGGGATTAGAAAGGGCTGTTGATTTGAGGCGCTCAGTCAGAATTACAGACCCCTCAGACACATTGTGAACTTTTGCATACTTACGAAAAAAACTCTTGTCAATCACATCTTAAAAGTGCTCTAAAATTTTCTGTAATTCTAAGCTCAGATTGAACGCAAATAAGGGATCTTTGTGATCGATCTGTAATGATCCTAGGAGTTGGGACCATTTCCATTCAGACGCATCGACTTTTTGACCGAAGATTCAATTAACACATTCCGTAATTTGGTTGCCTTCCGGATAAGTGAACGATAAGTGAATGGACGAATGATTTCTTCATAGGTAATGGTGTGCTCTCTTTTCAGAAGAGCTATGAAAATGTCAGGAAATGCGCTCAGATTAAAGGCACTGTTCACGAAAAAATGGTTTCGGAGATCTGTACATGGTTTGAATTCGACGCCCCCTCTGATACCATTTGTGCAGGAATGAGGTTGGAAAACGGTCTGGATAGGGCATAATAAGGGCAGGAACAGCGGGGGACGGGAGGCCTCCG